TACATGTAACTATTTTAAATTATTAATAAAGATATAAGCAAGGCCTCACCTTAATACCAAAAAAAAAAAAAAAAACAATAATATGATATAAACACTAAATAAATTTTTGTAACTATGTAAATCTATTAAAATTAGATAACAAGAAATCCATTTGAGAAACCCAAGTAAAAAGGTAATCAGATCTTTGATGACACTATAATGATTTAAATTGTTAGTTGAAAAACCAATTAGTTAACAACTTTCCAACTAATCAATTTAGAAAATTTTGTAACAACTAGTTGATTAAATTATCAACTAGTTAAATTCTGAGATATTCCATCTATTCGGGTTGGTTCATGTTGATTTCTTTAGTTTGATTGGCCAACCAACCAATTTAGTCACATGATATAAGAAGTTGATTAGTTGCAACTATAGTTGGCAACTAATCGATTGGAAAAATTTTTACCAACTCGAAACACTACTGTTAGTGAACATAAACAGAAGAAAATTGGAATATATTTGCAAAAGAATCAAGAAGGCCTGCATAGTAATAAGAAAAATTCACCTCTAAAAAGATTCTAAAGACTCAACATTATTATAATACGACAGGGTGAAACCCGGATTTACTTATTTGTGCCGGTAATACAATCCAAAAAAGAAAATTTGATTTTATAAATAAAGTGCGTAAAACACGTATTTAGGGTTGGAACGTTAACATTAGAGGCTATAGCGATAGACTATCATTCATTATAAGTAAAATTTCGTTTTCGACATTTTTAATTAGTACACCAAGGCTGGTTTAAACACTAGTTTTTGAGTTTTTTCGCTTTTTCTTCTTTTACACGCATTCGGAATTCATGTCGGGCTGATCCGGAACGATCAAAATTTGAATTCACTGATTGGCTATTTCCTTTTTAGGAGTTTGTATTACCGGCACAAATAAGTAAAGCCGGTGAAACCATCTTTTGCATAATAAAAAACATAGCTAAACGCGGATTTCACCCTAGCGTGATCTACGTAGTGGTTTTACTAATTTACAGCGCGGGTTTCACCCTCTCCTATTATAATTAATGAAATTCCTAAAATAAAAGCTGGTTTAAAACACCTTACGTATCTTTAGCTAATCAGCCATAAAATTTTAACAGAAATGAATCAGTTCATGAAAGACCAAAGAAGAATTGACCTTTTAACCAATTCCGCTGTTATTCAGTTCTTAGTCTTGAGACTGGTCCAAACCAGTTTTAAAAAAATATTTGCAGCTATTATAAATTCTGTGAATCGATTCGATAAGATTTTTAATTCACATAACGATAATAAATTCAATGAATTGAATAATTTAAATCCAAGTGACTAATATAAATACATATCGGATTCATATCTGAGGTATCAGAAATATAGGATTTTATCGGATTTATATCGGATTTTTGTCTTGAATTCGGAATTTTGAATCTTATTTCTCATCACTTTGTTAAATTCGAAATATTTCGGAATTAAAAAACAACTTCGCCCGCAACATTAGGTGTGTGGATTAACTCCGTTATTTTTTGTCGATTGCCCAATATTGTATACATTTTCAGATTGCATCATACGATCTCATATCTCACGTGAAGATTGAGAAATCTTGGCGGTTAGTAATTTATCAAACGTAAATAAAGTCAAAAATATTAGAACTAAAAGCCTATAATCGCTGAACTCAAATTTTGGTCTTGGATATGATCAACATGGTTTACCGTTTTTTATCGTTATTTGACGAATTATATCTATGTATTTCTCTGGTAAAATACAAAAATGGATTTAACTTCCGTTATATTACATAAATCGTTATTTAATTTATTTTCCTTCCAGACAATTGATAAGGTTTGTAATGATTGCCGAATCGATAAATTACTGATTCCCCAGGAATTTGTGGGAACAGCTGTAATTTTCCGATATGTTTAATTTTCCGATCTGTAATTTCCCGAATTTACAATTGATAAGGTAGTTTACGTATTTATATGTTAGTAAAGTACTTTTTAATAATATAACATTTCAATAATAAAAAAGTTATCTAAATATATAGCTTTAAAATAGTGTTACCGTTCATTGTGCAAAAAGATCACACCTAGTGATGGGATTAAATCACTCTTGATACAAAATATTCCACAGTATATTGAACCATTGTTACACGATCGATAACTTCTTTTAAAAGCTCGGGTAGTTTAACTTTCTATGAAACGAACGAATGAATTAATGTTTTCTCTTCGCTTTATAATGTATTTTTTGAATCTCACAACTTTGTTTTTTGCATCCTGATTGGTCGATTTGCTGAAATTCAGGATATGTTGGTTGACAATCACGTGCAATTATATCTGAATCATCTACTGCAGGTTAGCGAAAAGTTTTTAAATTATGCGAAATTTTTAAATAAAAGATGCAATTTTTGATAGAGGATGCGATTTATTTTATAAATAAAGCTAGTTGGACGTATTATTTTATATAGCCAGTTCTTTTTATAAGAAATTAGAGGCTCTCATAGTAAAAATTTCCAAGATTCTTTATAAAGTGATTTACTATGTTTTTATACCGAACTCTAAAAATTTTTTTTTTAAAAAAAGTTCGTCATAGAATAAAAATAGTCAACTTTATTAATCACGCCATTTTTAAATTATAAATAACTAATCAACTTAAAACTATAAATACCTGAATGCATAGTGGAATCCGAATTTCATAACAAATACGTCTTTTTATATGTTCTACATATATTTTAGATTATATAGTGATAGTAAAAAATGTATCGATTCATGTAAATTTCAATTTGATTGGCTAGTTTTCACGTGCAAATCTACGAATGATCTTAATTTCTTTGGGAATCTCCATCATTATCCTCAGAACCTCAGTCCCAGTAACAACATGGAATGTTAGGTTCTCTTAAGACTGAAGAGATTTAGGGAATTTACAAGGTTTTTTAGTTTGTCTTAAAAATTTATGAACCTACTTATTATAAATCATCGCTGTGTCGATAAGATAAATCATGTGAATGGGTGTATATTTCGAAGGTCTGAGTGATGTGAAAAAATAGTCCCAAGAACGCCTTACTTTTTCCTATGACTGTATTTTAGTTAAAAGAGTTGAATCATAAACTTGTCTCATTATACGATAGAAAATATAGTCATAAAAAAAACATTACATCGGATCTTGAAAATAGCCTTACTATGGATTAAAGTCTGTTAAATGGTTGTTGAAACGTATAAATAGAACATTCTTTTGATATCTAACTAAAAATCAAGAATTATTTCCTTAGAAGAATTATCTATTTATTGTCTGGTCTTTCATCCCGCCTATTATATGTGCAAACATGCGCCAAATGCTTGAATACCTTGATATTTTGGTGCCCAAAGGAGATATGGATTCGCAATCAAACTCTGGTGGTCGCGAATCTATTTCCGATATTGGCGAAAAACTTAGATCACGTGTTGTGGTCGTCACCATGTTACCACAGATTATGTCTACAATTTATCTCATTTTTTGGCGTTCATCCGACATTGTGTCGGATAGGTATATGGCCTATTCTGCCGCGACTTCCATTATCTTCTTAGGTAAATATATATAGATATATTAGCATATGACATAACGTATTAATCGAGCTATTTATTTATTATTTGTTATTCAGTTCAAATTTATAAATTATATGCTTTTACCGCTTCTTCACGATCTTGTGCGCAATTGTTGAGCATCAACTTTTTAGTAACGCATATATTGGCATTAATCGATTTGCGAGAAAGAGGTTAATAAAAAAAAAAAAAAAACTTTATAATTGGATTACGGTCAAACTTTGTCTTGGTCACAATGATGGTCAGGTGATCCAAACCTTCATAGTGTGACCAATGGCAATAGATTGATAACTTCGGACTTGCAATTCATGAATGTTTAAATTTTAGTTATCTTCATGATCCGCTACCACTATGGCTATAGCAAGGTTTGACCGTAATTTAAAATTTGCCTTGATTTTACTGACAGTTTTTGGTATAGGAACAATACCACTTACTGTTTCAGGTGGTAGGCTCTCTTTCCTATTTTGGGTTCCACCTTTCAGGTATTTTTGAATAGACAATTTTTTTTTTATAAGGACAACAAAATAATTAATATGCATATTATGCCGCAGTTATTTTTTTGCTGGTAAAACATTTGGATTCATGACCGCGACAATCACGTGTATTATTTATTTTTACGAAATTTTTTGGTAATTTCTCTTATTTATTTATTTTTTATACTGTCAAGAGACTACATAATAGTATTTTTTATTGATTAAATAGGCCATCTGCTGGAACTTCCCTGGTCCGAGGGATTTTTTATCTCGTGCTTGACCTTGTCATACCCATTTTGATGTTTACGCTTTTATCTACTTTTGCATTTATTGATAGACAAGCTGAAGAAGTATTTATAAATACCAAATTTTATTATGTTTGGCTTTTTTTTTTTAATTAATTCATCCTTCCTTTAGGTTAAGGAAGCGAATCAAACAAGATCTGTGTTCCTGCAAACTATCAGTCACGGTATGCATAAAAAACATTTGTCGATAGAAATTGCATTCAACTTTTTTTTCTACATTTAAATTTATCATTTTAAATAGAATTGAGAACTCCAGTTCACGGAATTTTGGCTAGCACGGAATTTCTTTCCTCTTCTTCTCTAAATTCTGCACAACGAGCTTTAGTATCTGCTATCCACAATTCTGGTGTTAATGTCATTCATATGGCTGATCACATCTTACGTGTCGCTAAATCTGTTAGTCTAATCATATCATCTTAATATATACAAGTTCTATTTATTTAAAACCTTTTCTTATATTTATTTCTTTTTAAATTTAAGGATGACCTCAGTAAGCAATTTGCGACTTAAATATCTGTTATTCGCTTTAAAATAACTAATATTCTATTAATGGAAATAGATATCATGAGGGGAATTACTCATGAGACTAAACCTTTTGATTTGTATAAAGCAACTGTAGAAATTACTGATGGTATAAATTATAAAATTTTACTTTTATTTTATTATTTTTATTTCATACAAATTTTCTTAAGAAATTCAACCTTCTCATTGATATGGCACACTAGGGACGGAGCTCCTGTTTGAAACTGAACATATAACTTTTGAATTCGATTATAAAATACCATTACATCAATCTATGTATATTGGTGATGTCGGTATAATTAAACAAATAATTATTAACGTAAATAATTTAATAACTACTCTACGATACTTTGGGTTTCTTTGCTTAATGATTTAATCCTCTCATATATTATTTTATATCTTGTTACAGTTGTTGGGAACCGTGGTATGTATAAATATAAGATATCTTTCTATGTGTTTCTAGTAATTGATTAGTACGTTTTTTCATAGTTGAGTCTTGGTCACCCTGAACAAGTTACGTTAACTGTTGAGAATCAACTTAAAGAACCCACGGAGAAACTTTTTACTGTAGAATTTAATATAATTACAGACTATAAAATTCCGGATCAAAGTGAAGAAAGTGAAGGATCTAATCAGGTATGATCTTAAAAAGTTCTAATGTTATTGATGCTTTTTCATTAATACTTTTAAATTTCCAGGGAGCTTCGTACTCGGAATATTTATCCAAGATGACTACACAAATTCGGTAAAATTTAATTTATATTGATGGTTTGACTAGTATCCTAAGTGTCGCTGGTTAAACGAAATATTTCACCTTAGTGAAATTATTTCTTTTTGATAAAATGGTTCGGGTTTTGAAGAGTAATTTCGCCTGCAACACCAATTATTTGTTGTGAGCTAAAAACTAAAATACTCGAAATATTTAACCATTTCATTCTGGTGAAATATTTCGACTTTTAACACAAAGCTTGACAATTTTTTTTCAAATTATTGTTGTTATTTTATAATATATCTAATCTATTTAATATCCAGCTTCATCCAGACACTTATTGACGCGCTTGGTGGATCTTTCGAGTTTAATAAATCAGATTTTAAAACACCCTTTGTGATTAAACTCGATTTAACTTTGGCAGATGATGATTTCGATCCTAATAGGAATATTATACCAATCCCTCATCGTTATGCCATAAAGAAATTTGAAGACATGGATCCAAGAAGTTTTCTTAGAATTGGCGTTGTTCGAGCATATGATAGTATTGTTACACGGAAGATCCTAACTTTTCTCCAGGAATTTGAAATGAAATCATTCAAAATCGTTGCACCTGAAGAAATTCCTTCAAGTGATATTAATGTTGTTATTTTTGATTCGTCCGAAACTACCAATGAAATTAATGATACTATATGTAAAATTTCTCGGGAGACACGTATCTTTATTATTAGTATTACATTTCTTTTAAAGCACTTAAAAGTCTGTGAAGTGGCACAAAAAGTGGGATTAGATGATTATGTTTACTTTATCGCCAAGGTACCAAATGCTTTTATAATTATCATTCTCATTTTTATACTATGCATAGGATCGATTTTCCGTTCGCATGATAATATGCGAAACATAAAATTTCGTGAGTTAGATTTACGCTAGGGTTTAAACTTGAAAGACGTGTGATATAAAGAAATTTTACAATGAAATTTTTAAGATGTAAAAGGTATCTTGTTAGGTTAATTTTTTTTCGAAACGAGTAATTATATATTACATCTGAATCTTAGGTAGCGTTCCCACAAAAAAATTTAAGATCAGGTGTAACGGATTGTTTTTTTTTGTGGGAGAGCAAGGGGCGTTCCTCGAGTTGGATCGACACGTGAACGGACAATCAATCCTACTTTCTGGTGCTGTTTTATTTTTTTTAGTTTAACTCTAACATTAATAGCCTTTGACCAATGTGAAACTTTGGAACGCGCTGCTTTCTGTGGCTGATGCTATAAATAAAGGATCTCGTAGTATCGAAAGTGCAAAAAGTTTTGAGCAAGGTTCTCAAGGTGAGATTAGTATATATTATAGTAGTATATTTTTTTTAAAATATAATGATAATCTTTTTTATATTGAATTGATAAACAAACAGATTCTCATCAAGCTGAAACGAGTGAAATTTAAATTTTTTTTTGTCAAGGTTAAACTAGTTAAAAATCAGGCTTTCGTTAGTAAAAAGAGATGAATACATAAGAAAGCAATAGTTAGAAAATATTAATGCAGATTATCATAATATATATATGTCGATATGATAATACGTATATAAGTACATATTAGAATAAAATGTATCCGGATTGGAATCCGGCCATCCCAATAGAAATCACGGATACATATTATAATTATATCGACCCAAGCACGATCAATACGCTTAGTAATTCTCAGTAAAACCACCTTTTTTTACTACGTATTAATTACATACATATTACAATTTTATTAAAAGATATTGGCTTTTATAAATGCGCAAGATTAGTATTTATTAAAATAGAATATCTCTTAATTCGCTATTTGTTCATTAACTAAGTTGCAAAAAAAAAAAAATTCTACATTATTATAAGATGCATAGCATAAGAAAAATGATTAAAAAAAAAACCAATTAGAAACTGCAAATACTTTTATAGCATTATACATTAATAAAAGTATGTAAACAAAACTTTGTAATCTACGGAAGCATATGAATGTACGTGAAGTCCTGTGGCTTAAGTCCATGTAAATAGAAGATTAGTATATAAGGAAGTTTCTGGAAAGAAGTTTCCTGATATGGAGAGTTGGTATTTGATGTGAGAAAAGCAGTGAACAACCAGAAATAGAGAGAAGGTGCACTAGTGGATGATACAATGAACATAAAAGGAAACTATGGAAAAGAAATGGACTTATTGAAATTCAAACATTTCTAATATTAAACTAGTTTAGTAAATATGGGATACATTAAAATGAATAAAACCTAAAAGGTAATTTTGGTATCATACTTAGTAAGTTTGCATTAAGGATAAATTTGAAGGATTATGGATATTTAGTAACATCTAATGAGGTGATATTTAGATATAAATAGTAATAAGGTAGTTTCAATCTGTTCTGTTATATCATAATAATATACATTGTATATATATACAGTAAATGTTGAAAATCAGAAAGTTTAAATAGAAGACTCACAGACAGGTCTTAGATATGACATCTAGTAGATAACCTATAAGTGAAATCCCTAATTAGATAATGACTAAAGTTATATGTATAACTAGTTGTATTTTCATTAATATATCTTATATATAATATGTAATCCTATATTATTAATAATAATAAAGATACACAAGTAAGGTTATTCTTGAAACTAAAAAAAAAAAATATGCAAACTTAATATTACAATATTACAAATATATTTAAAATATAAAATTTGATTTTCTCATCAATTTCAGGTTTTGTATTTATATTTTGAAATTTTTAAATAACATTTACTTTCATATACAATATTTGTTTTTTTATAAATATATTTTGCTGTAAAACAGTCACTCTTACAATTATATATTTTGTTACTAACAAGAATATTAGATTGCAATTTTGTGATTTCAATAATACTAACAGTTGTATTAGTCAGAGGATTATCTAGTTTTGAAAACTCTTTTGATTTAAAAGATAAAATTATATTAGCTAAAAATGTTTTTTCAAGAACATCAAATCAATATATAAGATAATATATATTTCTGAAAAGTACTGTAAATATCTTACAAGGATGTATACAACAATCATTAAATCTACAGTTAATTTTAGCAATTTGAATTTTAATTAGATTACCAACTTTATAAACATATTTATGAATATTATATTTTTTATATATTTGGTGTTTTATTTTGAATTAATATTCTTCAAAATTTTTATTAATGACTTGATAATAAATATTATACTAAGATGTTATATTATTTGAGACTTTTTGAATAACTTGAATATTATTTTTTTGAAGAAATATAATTATATAAATTAATAAAATTTTGATTTTTTTATTTATAAATAAAAATTTAAATTGTAATTAATAGAGTTTAATATTAAAAAAAAATAACCAATAATCTTGTCTTATATAATTGTTTTTTAATAATTTATAATATTATTATATATAAAAATTATTCACTTACTAATATCATAATAAATAAGATTAATTTATTTATAATTATTATTAACAATAGATTGTATTCATTAATCATTATTGCATTATATAATCACTATTTACATTTATATATATTTAAGAGTTTATTATTTAAGAGTTCAACTAATTACGTTATAACATTATTTATATAAATAAAATTAGATAAAATATTAAATAAATTATTAACTTAATACTTACTAATTTTTGCTTTTCTGTAATAATTCATTTTGTACTATGTTAGAAAATAATATTAAAAATTAAAACTCATAAAAAAATATTAATAAAAAAAGACATTCTTCTTGTTGATCATTCAAATACAAAAAACAGCTAAAGAAAAAAGAAGATTTTAGCAAAGTTGGTAATAAGAAACATTTTAAGTAGTTTTAAATAAAAAGAAATAGCAATATAGAAAGCAATAGACTAGTAGAAAAAGAGTCTTTTTACAAAACTAATAAATTAGCTATTGAAGAAAAGCAAAAAACTTATTAAAAATAACAATAGTAGAGAATTGCTATTAGATTCTATACTATAAATCTGTTTATATTATACAAAAAACACATAACAGTAAAACAATAACAGATATATATAAGTCTTAAATCAGTATAGATATTACAAATCACATAATGATACATGTGAAATTCTATATATAGATAAGCAAATTAACAAAGAAAATTTAGAAACTAATTAGAAGCATATAGATATAAATAGAACATAAAATTAGTAAAGTGTAGAAAAAGTTTATCAACAATTTTCATAAAAAAAGTATACTAGACAATAAACAAAATATATAATAAAATATTTTTCAATTAGTTAAATAGTACATATTAATATCAGACCAAAAAGATAAAATTGTTATTATATTTACAAAACAAAGCTCAGAAGAAGTTGTACTGTTAAGAAAAACCAGAGAATTAATTAAAAAAGTAAGAAGAGAACAACTAAAAAAGAAATTAAATCTTACAAAGGCAGATAAGAATATAATAATAATTGAATTAAAAAAATTCATAAACAAAAAAATAGAGAAGCAGTATAACAAAAAATAATCAAAAAAAAGAAAAACAAGAAGATAGACATAAAACAGAAAGAAAAATCAAAAAAATAGAAGAAAACAATACAAGTAAAAAAAAACTACGAAAAAAAAACTTTACTATAAAGAAAAAAGTAAAAATAAAGATAAATATTAAAAATATAGACTAGACAAAAGAAGAACCACTTGTGTAAAAAAAAGAATCAAAAAAAGAACAAATAAGATAAGTAAAACAAGAAAATATAAAAATAAATGATAAAGAATCAAGACAAAGTTCAAGATCAGAAAAAAAAAAAGACAAAAAAGAAGAAACCAGATAGTAAAAAGAGAAATAAGCATAGTAGAAATTCCTTTAGAAAAAAGCATATGAGTACTAAGTAGAAAAAATTACAACAAAAACAACAGTCTACTTGCTAATATATCTGCATACAATGTGCCTAGAGAAACAGAAAAAAATATATGAAGTTTATCAAATAGTCACTAAAAGACAATAAACACATTAAGAACATTAAAGAAATCTTCAAACAAGAAAATCTGTAAATTGAAATAGACTTCGACTACAAGTATGATAAAAATAAAGCAATACAAAAAATAAATAAAAAAGAAAATGATTGGTATAAAATACTACCAGAAGAAGACAATGAAAAAAAAAAAATAGAATAAAAGAAGTACAATAATAAATACTAAAATAAAAGATATAATACAACTGAATATAAAAAAAAATATAGAAAAAAGAAAATTAAAGAAGAAGGAGTGTGGGTCCTATAACTTAGCAGTTAAGCTCTCATACCCTTCACAGTTAAGGTTAATAGTTCAAGTCTGGCTAGAGACAAAATTAAAAAGATTTTAGTTTCTGTAATCTAATAAGAAGCCTGTAATTAAATATGAAGTCCTGTGATTGAAGTCCAAGTGCAGTACAATAATAGAAGTAGAAATACTCAGAAGAAGATCCAATCATGAAGTAGAGACACTATGTGTAACAAGCAGTTGTTACAGAAAGTTATAGTTATAGAAGAATTATGCATGTAAGTCCTTTAGACTAGAGCAGTACCAACATCTTTATACCTTCTAATATAGACAGTACTAACATCTCAGCATCCAACTTGTGGAATACTTGTTTGGAAGAATAATCAACAGATTGTGCAAATAAGTCTTAATTGGAATTCAAGAAGAGAATTTAATTAAGAGAATAGTCTGAAAGTAACCAAAACTGAAATAGTAAAAGAAGTGATGAATATGAAGACAAACTGTGATAAAGGATTAGTCTAACCAAAAATTGGAAGCACCTCTGGCACAGCTGAATAATTTAATTATAGAAAGAAAGATCTTGGAGATAGGCATATAACTTCTTTGTGTAATATAAAAGTACAAAATTGGGTTTTGGTCGTATCTATATGAAAGTCTATAATAAGCAAAACTAGAGATCAATCAACTAATGTAAAATAAGATCTGCAAGATAGTATAGTATCACTGAGGTCAGTGTAACTTCTTGGGTATAACCAGAATTATTCTGCAAATATTGCTGAATAAGCTAAGAGCTTACAATATATAGTAGTATAGTATCACTAAGGTCAGAAGAACTTCTTAGATATAACCAGAATTGTTCTGTTTGTAAGTGCAATAAGTCTTAGTCTCTATCATAAAAGAAAGAACCATGTTAGAAGTTAAATGCAGCATTGAGTTACTGTATAACACTAAGACCTAGGGCATCTGCAAGAACAGTAGCAGCAGATTTGGCTTGAGATACAGATTAATCAAAAAGACTAATGATAGCAGCAGATCTGGCTTAAAATACAGGTTCATTGCAAATTCTGAACTATTATTAGAACACCTTAGAAAAAATAATAACAGGTATATCAAAGATGAAAAAATCATAAAAATTAGACATACCTGAGTAGGACCAATTTGGAAGTAGTATAGTAACAAAAAAGTAAGAAATGTGAAGAACAAGAAAATACTAGATAT